CACCTCAACAAGTAGCGTAACATAAAAAGGAAGGACCTGGAGGAACAGCTCAGTATCAAGCTGCTCCTCGCCCTGATGAAGTGGACTGCAAGGTCCACGAAACGTTGGCACATCAAGAATGGACCAAGACATGGAAAAAACCCGCGAAGCACAGATTAGTTATAATTTTTGGTAATATCACAACTGTTGTTACGTCCAAACCCCTGGCAGGTTGATTGTCATGATCGCTCGAAAAGATAGCAAGGGAAAATGAATGGAAGGACGTTTAGACTCGGTAGGTACGCAGAGGCGAATACCCGAGAGTCGAACGAACTTTCTATTACCTTGGAATATGGGTCAACGTTCCGAAGGGACAGAGCTGTGATACCCGATCCGCAGTGTGAATATCGGTCCTACTTTTCGATCAGAACTTCATTTTTGAGCCGGGACTGAATCTCAGGTAGTGAGGAACGGGATACGAGGTGTTTTAAAATAACTTTACTATTTACCAATGATATTCATTTAAAAATAAAATAATATATTCATTTATAAAATAAAAATATGACAATCAAATATGATAAACAATCGCCATTACTGTCGCATCTAATTAAGCTTATCTATCTATCTATCATTAATCGGATCTATTGAATTTCTGTGCGTGCGTGCGTGCGTGCGTGCGTGCGATAACGCGTGGTAGCGGAAGAGTGAAGATATTGCTGTAGTTATTGGCAAATATCCCAATCCTCTTCCCCCACCACGCATTATCAAAGGTTCGGGGATTTCAAGCTTTACTCATAGTAGAAGGTTATCTCTTCCATCATAACTTTACTTTGCACGCATGCACACACGCACGCACGCACGCACGTGCGGTGGTATAAGCCTGAATCTTGTATCACTATACCCAGATACCCACCCGCCCGCTCCGTTACTGGTGCACACGGATCCAAACTGATTTCGCGAGTACCTGTTAATTCGGGTGACCGACAATTACTTATTATTATTAAAGATTGTTCGAAAGACACACTGCGAACCATGTAGTGATTGTACTTTGATTCATATGAAATATGTAATAATTTCAGTAGAGATCCTGTCTACAAAAACATGTATGTTTATATATTAACATAATACATACATATTTTACAGCTTAAATTCGATAAGCTTTGTCACATATTTGCAAATAATTGTTTTTATATTTACATAATGAGGAAGCATAAGTTATTAAATTTAAAATATTATATACAATATAATAAACTATAATAGAGTGTATCGGCAATGAGAGCATCAACACAATGCGATAATTAGTGCGCAATAAAATATAATTGTCAAATAATATTATATTTACATAATATAAAAATGCACAATAATTGTCGGTATAACTTATTTGAACGTTTTGATTTTTTTCAAACTGTCTTCAAATTTGTAGATACTCTCTTCATAGATGTCTTGACACAGTATTGCGACAATGTTGAAATTAAATTCTATGTAAGACTGAGGATGAGCATACTCCTGTCTGGTTAGGAGTTGTCGTCTCTTCGTTGTTTAGCCAAGTGATTAACTAAAGAGTACAATGCGCAAATATATTAGATCTTTTGTTGTGTATTCAACGTATTGTACTACTCACTCTCCGTCCTCATAGGTCACAATCAGTTATTTCAAATTTACCAAGTTAAATTATAAAAAGGAACGATTACAAGAAATAAAAAACTTGTTTTATATTAAGTATAAGATATAAAATTGTAACATGTGTTATCCAGATGGAAGTAAGACAAACAATGACCATCAAAATATATTCTGCAAGTCACATAGAGAATAATAAATAATTATAAATCATAATTATTATAAATAATAAAAATTTTAAACAAGACTCGTAATATTAAAATATGTAATAAAGTAAAGGCTAATAAGAGTCAAGCAACAACAATTCTCACAATTAGATCAACGCAAATGTATTCATTATAAAAAGTATAGTTATTAAAATAGTTATTAAAAACGCAACAAAAAACTTGGACGATCGGAATACAATGCATTACATTTTTCGGTCTTATATTTAGGCCCTCTTCAGATGTACGAAAATCAAAATCCGTAAATCAATAAAACTAAGACATCGACGATAATATTAAAAAATAATAACAAAATGAGAGTTTCCTCAGAGAAGTGGAATAGCTCGTCAAGCGATTGGAAGACCGATTGTGAAAGTTTCTCATTGTTTTAATGAAAACAAAAATTGTATGTATCAGACACACTAATATAAGACCAAACCAGAACACTCACTGGTAAAAAACTCACCTCAGAGTCCACAACAATTGAAATTGAAATTGAAAAATCTATGTCCGAAATAAAATAATTGTCAATATGATATCAGCGGAGATAAAAGTTTAATATTACATTCTAAGTATATAGCATCAAAGATATAAAGAGAAAAACAATCAGTCTGTCTCAATGAACATAATTATAATGTGATGGATCTTGATGATGCAAAGTCAAACCTTGTGTATAATCGGAATATACGATTTGTTAATACCTTCCGTATCTGTATAGAGGTGTTAAGACTGTTATTTTATTTTTTAATATTGAGCCGTTTCCGAGACAAGACATTTGTTATAACAGTTCCTCGTCAAGAATTTGAATGCTGTTCCAATCAAAATCATGTCCATGTTGTAATCGATGATCTGTTATTACGATTTTGTGTTAATATTCCATTGTATATAGTTTTGATGTTCAAAAAGCTATGTTAATAGTCTTCTTCCTGTTTGTCCCACATAAGATGCATCACAATCGTTGCAATTTATCTTATAAACCACGTTAGACCTGAATAAAGAGTCTAATCCAATATACTCTAATGAAGGCAATGTAACGGTTGTTTTAGATAAAGATTTTTATGTGAATGGCGCAAATGCTGAGCGACAAAGAAACCTATGCGATCATAAAAAAAGATCCTACCAAAAAGCTTGTCTCTCTCTCTCAGAACTCTACTTTCTAAGGGAAAGAATTGTAAATACTAGCTTGATCAAAAAGTTTCCGGAATTCATTCAGAAAATTCAAAATACAAGTTTATTCATCAAAAGTGATATTGTCCCTTTCAAAGTACTCTCCAGCGACTGTAACGCACTTATGCCAGAGCTTGATCCAGCTCTCGAAACATTTCTGGAACTCTATTATTGGTATAGCCATCAGAGCCGTCTTTGATTTTTCCATTACCTCCTTTCGGCTGTTAAAACGCGTTCCCCGCAGGTGTTTTGACTCGATCGAACAGAAAAAAATCGCAGGGAGCCATATCGGGTGAATTCGATGG